TTTTTTTTTTTTTTTAATCCCCCTACATGGCAAGCGATGCTGAGCTGTCACCTTTGGCAGTAAAACTAACCAATCTGTTGCTCTTCACCGGTGACCAACTAAAATAAAATTCCTGAAGGTTTGGTCAGTTTGCCTCAAACAAATTATAAAATTTCTGTGCATGTTTATATATTTACTATTTAACAAAATTCAGAGGCTTTTATAAAGTCTCAATTTGCATGTGGATACTTTCCTAACTATAGTCTTCATACACTATTAAAATTACTTCATTTACACTTTCTTTTTAATCTTAAATGCTTTGGACAGCCAGAATATATCTTCTGTATAACAAAGCTTTCAGGGGGCATGGGGATGTGGTTTTTCATTGCATTGCAAATGATTTGGAGAATGGCTTGCTTTCGCTGACCACCGAAGAGAAACAAAATCTCCATTTCAGCAAGTATGTGCTATCTACACACAAAAAATCCTGCTCATTCCTGTTTCTTCATGCTTTTCTACTTCTTTATTGTTTTCTTGGTAATGGTGGCAAACACTTAGAGGGAAAGGTTTTTTTGGATATACAGCTATTTTCATCTGTGTCAACTTTAGTTCAAAAAAGTGAGCGAGCACTGAATAGAGTCTCAACAAATCCTGAGACTCCTGAATCCACTCTTTGCTTTCTACAGGGTGTTAGGATGTTTCTTCTAGGACGTTGCGTGCAGAGCTCAAACACGTTCACAGTGATTTGCAGTAAAGGTTGTTATAATCACTGCTCTGCAGGCTTTATTCTCGTGGTTAGTAGTATAATTAGAGATTACGGTTGTTGTATGCAGATCCAGGCTTCAGCCTTCCCAAATCCCAAAGGAGTTCTTGTGCCGAGTTTCATTTCATATCCTTTCTAGCCGGGATAGATGAGGATATGTTACATAGCTGTGTTTAACAGTGTTTTTTTTCCCTTTGTTCTTGTACTCCACCTCCTTTAACTTCCCGTTGTGCATGTTGGATTGTGCCCAGTACCTTGTTCTCTGTTTCATCAGACATGCCAACACTTGGCCCTGGAGCCAAACCCCGTGCTAGTCCCTGGTGAGCCAGCAGATGCCACAGTGTGGGAGGTTAAACTCTGATTCTTATTTTCCCCTTTTGCACTTACGTACGCTCCCATATAAAAAAAGGCACTGTTGACCTTGGCAGGCCAGATGAGGACAGCCCATAGATGGAATTCTTAGAACTGTTACCGAAATTACGCTGCTTGGAGTTACTAGAACAATTACTGCAGCATATAGCAAGCAGCACTTTCACTTCATCCTTGAAGAGCAGGCAGTGTTTAATGTTCAGAAACCAGCTATCTGCCATCCTTACGTTGTGCACACCTTTGCTTTTTGTGCCAGTACTTGTCATGACATAATTTGTTCAGCAAAGCTCTTGATACATTTTCTTTTAAAGAGCTAAAAAGAAGAAAACAACATCGATGCCTTGATACCACTGTATTTATTTAACCTATTATGGTAATGTAACGAGCTGAAGGAGTTAATATCCCATCACCTATCCAGTTGGCTGACTTTCTGATGTATGATGAAATGCATAATCTTGGGAGGGAATACTTTTTTTTTTTTCCAGTGTACATGCCACCAAAAAGTTAACCGTCATTTTGAATTTTAATGTCAACTGAAAAACGTATGCAGTGCCTATGCTGCGTACAACAAATATATTGTAAACACTATGTAATTTATTCAAAAAAGGAAGAGAGAATAACGTCTTTATGGATTTTGTGTTTTGTTTTGTATTTGCTGTATTTGCTACAATTACAAGAAACATTTGTACAGTAGAAGTACAGTATTGCAGAGTTAGAAATAAAGTTTGCAGTTGGTACGTTTACTGTGAACATGAAAATGGATGCTTTTAACTGTACAGGGATATAGCATCTTTTATTTGTAAAAGATTATGGCATCTTTCAACTATTAGGTTACTGGTTCATATTCAAGCCTGATTGTCATCTGATACCAGTAACCTGTGCGAAACAAACTGTGTTTTCAGTCCCTAAATGCACGTATTGCAGACTGCCTCTGACTGATCAATACCTTTGGGTGCTCCGGCAGACCGCTTTGTTGGTGAATTGGCAGGAAATTTTAGCCTTTTTTAGCTCCTACAGGTCATACAGCCAAATCAGACTGGAGGTGGTTTAGTATAAATGTGTTCTCTGTTGTTGCCAGGGTGTCTGCATTTCTGAGGACAAAAAAAAAAAAGGGCTCTTGGTATTCTTTTTGGTATTGAATCTCTTTTGTGTAGGATATACAACAAAACAAGATCTATATAGATATATATTTGCCTACCTTTTTTCATATGTATAATCAAGCTGTCTTGTCACCTTCTTACCTGCATTTATTCTTGGATTTGCTGTCTGTTACATACCTTCAGTATAATTGTGGCTGATGTATTTAGTCTTTGCTTATGCTGTCTTTCATTATAAGACTTCGTAGAAAGATGAGCTTTATTAAACAAACTGCTAAGTTTTCTGTGTCATTAATGCTGTTTTCCTTCTATGTGCCTACTTTGCAAACGATCCTATTCAAGGACTTTGAGCTGCCCACACACTGAAAATTAAAATGTTTTTTTTCTCCTCATGTTAGAAAACCAGGACCAGATGTTTTACGAACGAGTCTTTCTAGACATGATACACTAATTTCCATGATGTTTCGTGTGGCTGTCAGCTGAATGTCAGCTTTGGCTGCTGGGACATAGACCATGCACAGCAAAAAGCAGTTAGAAACTGGAGGGGGAAACCTTAAATTTGCTGTAATTTATAGTTGGTTGGTAATATATCAAAGCATTAGCTAGGCAGGACAGTGATTTTTTTGTTACCGCAACATCCATGAACGCATTTAAATAGCAAAGGATGCAAACTGCACTTGAATGAAAATGAGCAGAGAAAAAAATCATATGAATTACAACAATGTAGTCTAGAAATCGTAACATAAAAATTAATATAAGTCATAAAATGATGAAGCTTTGTGCTCTTCTACTCCAGGTCTAGAAGAAAGATGTTACAGAGCAGCGGTATGGAGACAGCTGGTTTAGGGAGCATGCACAGTGCCTTGTTGGTCTCTTTGTTGATTTATCAGCCTTTTAGTTTTCATGAGGAATACCAAATTCAGTCCCAAACTGAAAGGAATAAGTACAGGGAAGACGGCAAATGTGTAACAGTGTTGCCTTTGATTGAAGGACTTGCCTATTTTCACATGAGATAAAGTGTTTATTCAAAATTTAATCCAGGCACAGGGCCAAAGCACAGCTCATGTCAATGTTGCCCAAACTACATTTATAGAAACTTGTATTTTTCCAGTGTATTGACTTCAGGTTTTATTTAGACTTTTATAGCTAGTTTTTAGTAATCATTCTTTCTCTAAGGACTTTTTTTTTTTTTTGTAAACTGGAGCAAATCTATTGTGCAGAATATACCAGCTGGAAGGCTGATATTTTTTATTTATTTTTTCAAGTTTAAGTATTTCCACTGCAATTTCATTTCATAACTCGTGGTCACAGGTATGTTAATCTTTTAGTAGTATAAATTCTCAGTAAATGACTCTTTTTTCCATTCATGTATTTGCTATGCCTCTGAAAAGGCATCTTGAAAGTACATTAGTCACTGTTTCACAGCTTATGTAAAAAATAGATAAATGTCCATCAGTTGAGTTGGAGCTTCCAAAATCTTCTACAGTTCTGTTTAAAGTCCACAGGCCTGTGATTGAATGAAGAAGTACAGTTGAGTTAAGCAAAGATGTAATTTGGTGACAGCTCTTATTCTTTTGCTTCCCTGTATTTGCTTTGTTTGATGGCTGCTTTCTTGGTGTTACATGAGAATTGTATGTTGAATATTATTTAGTCGTCTTTTTTGTCCAGTTTCAATAATCGTAAGTAGTAAATAAACCACACTGAAGAATATTGATCAATTAATTTTTATTGTTATTTCTTCACTTATTTGATAGTATAATGCCATATTTAATTTGTTTTAATAGATTAATGCTGATGCAGAAAAGGAAGAAGGTGAAGAGTTTGAAGACAGCATGGATGTTTTTGATGACAGTAGTTCTAGTCCTTCTGGTACTCTAAGAAATTATCCTCTCACCTGCAAAGTTGTTTATTCATATAAGGTTTGTGATTTTTTTGTTTTTTTAATTTGATTAGCAAAATGAATTATGCAACAAACAAGTAATAGATGTAACTGTTCTGTGGGAGTCTGGGGTAGAATGTCAGCATTTGGCTCAATAATGGTGCACATTAAATGTATCTAACATCTAGTTCTGAAAAACTGCAGCAGTGTGAAATCCATGTCATTGTGAAACACATTTAAACTGCAGTTCAGCAGGGTACTGAAGTCTGTGCATGAATTGTAGACATGTCTCTGTCTGGCTTCAAGGAGACCAGTTGTGTGCCTGCCATTAGAAGACGTTCTGATTTTTGTTGCTGAGCCGGTGTGGCTATATTAGAAACGCCTTCTCAGTGTTAGGCATGCTTGTATGCTGTACGACAAAGCTCTTCTTTGTACTATAATGGTGAAACCACCATTCATGAGTCAAAGCTTTGCTGACAAACTGCATTCATGCTCTTTACTTCTGCTAGCGCTGCTAGGTCAGCTGTAAATCACACCACTGCGGTAGCTGAAGCCAGTGGCCGACGTAGTCTTAGAGTAGGGAGTAATTAGGGTTTCAAAAGTAAATAGGGTTTGACGTGCTGGGTGGTATTCAGGGTGCTTCCATCTATCCTCTTGAGTGAAAAAGGGTCTTGTGAATATCAGCAGGTATACAGAAGAACCCTTATTAATACATTTCAAAGTATGCTACATCATAAAATTTTCATTTTTTAAAAAATCATAAGTTTTAGTAAAAGTCTGGATGAGAATGTTCTTTACACTGCCTGTCCCATGCACCTGAAAACACTTTTATTTTCTAATCTTCCTGTTATATACTTCAGGCTTCTCAGCCAGATGAATTGACCATAGAGGAACATGAGGTATTGGAGGTTATTGAAGATGGAGATATGGAAGACTGGGTAAAGGTACCATTCTTCTGAGATTGTTTTCTTTTCACTATCACTTTTAGAAATAGAACTTGGAATGGGAGAAAGTATTTGGATTATTTTCATAGTAGTATGCAAAAGCAGAGCATCTTTTATGTCATTTACTTACAGGCACGAAATAAAGCGGGTCAAGTGGGTTATGTGCCAGAGAAGTACCTGCAGTTCCCGACATCCAGCAGTCTGCTGAGTATGCTACAGTCCCTTGCGGCACTGGATAGTCGATCACACACCTCAAATAACTCCACTGAGGCCGACTTAGTCTCAGGCAGCCTGAATGGAGACTCCAGTGGTAAATACCAATAAACAAATAAATAGTGTATTAAGCTTGTTCTCGAAAGCGTTCTGCATATCGAGTTTGGATGTTGCACATGAGAATTTCTGATATTTGACCTGTAACTGAGTACAACGGTTCTCAATAATTATCTATCTGATACCAAATCTGTGTAATGTACCTGCCTATTTCATAGAGTTGAGATTAGCTAAAATTAAGGAAAACTGAAATAATTTGACTCAGCAATTATAGGATTATAGAATCATTTAGGTTAGAAAAGACCTTTAAGATCATCGAGTCCAACCGTAAAAGTATGTATAGTACCTGTTATTTTTTTTAAGCTCATGCCAATTACACTGGTTTTTTTCCTCTTCCATTCTTCAGTCTGTTTTGTAAAAGCACTTTATGATTACGAGGGCCAGACAGATGATGAGCTGTCCTTCCCAGAAGGAGCGATCATCCGCATCTTGAACAAGGAAAATCAAGATGATGATGGCTTTTGGGAAGGAGAATTCAATGGACGCATTGGGGTGTTCCCATCAGTATTAGTTGAAGAGCTTACAGCCTCAGAAAACGGAGAGACTCAGTGGATTGGAGATATTCAGGTATGTAAAGAGTTGAGGTGCTAGCTTGCACATATGATATTACGTTGTGAGGGCAATTTTGCCAGGCTGCAAAGATCTGCTACTACTTTAGAGGGAAAAAAAAAATCAGAACCAATTTAAGGGGGGGGGGGGAACCCCAAATAACTCTGAGTGCTTACCTTTTAGTTTCTTACCCAGCCTAATAATTATCAGCTGATATATTTTGGCAAAACTGACAGATTTGTGAATAAAGGCAGGTATTTGGGTAGAAAGGAAATGAACCAAAGGAGAAAATTCACAGTCTACTTCCTGTAATTAATTTATGGCATAGACTGAGACATCAAACAGAACCTGGCAAAAAGAGAATTACAGGCTCTCTCAGCCCTAATTTAATGTTTTCATACTTAAATCTGTTCTGTATCCTCTCAATTTTTGAAGGGCAGAATACTGCCGAATATTGTATTACAGTAATTTTTGCAAAAACGTCCTCATTCCAGTATAGTTCTGTAATCCTTATATCATACTAGAAAATCAGACACATTCTCATGTGTAATCGTGGTGCTAGAAGGTGGACTTCTATGTTTCCTACAAAGTAATTTCTCCAGTATTTTTATTCTTTGATTTGAAAAGATCATGAAAATTTAACATTGAAATGATATATATGTAACTGAATTGGGATAAAACTCACTATCTTAATGCTTTTATGTAAATATAAGTGGCGAGGCACACTTGGCCAATTGACTTTTTTCAAATAACCGTCAAAAAGTCTGTCTAAATTATCTGGGAGAGGATGAAAATTTCTGCTCAGTGGCAACCTATGATTTAAAAAAAATATAATCACTGTTGGATGACTTGGCTTTCCTTCCCAAACGTACCAGACAGCACTTTTGACAGATAGTTTTTCTCCAGATGAAAGTTCCTAGCACCCTGATGTGTCACAGAACTTGCTGCACCTCGGTGTGTACATAAAAACTGTTGAGGAGTAAGGCTTTCTGCAGCCCCTGTCTTTTTTTAACACAGGTATCCCCAACTCCGAAGCCTAATAATGCCCTTCCACCGCTGCCACTGTATGACCAGCCTCCCACTAGTCCCTACCACAGTCCGGATAAAAGGGGTTCTCAGTACTTCCCCAGATCACCGTCAACTAACGGTAAGAAATTTTGTGATAACTAAATGTTTAATTTAGAATGTTCACATTTCAGTGGCGGGCGGGAAGCTTTTTTGCAACACAGAGTTAATTCAGCAATACTGAGTGGCTTGTTTGTGATGGGTTGTTGCTTACTCCTTCAGAAAACAGCTTCAGTTCAGAGTCCCCTGCATTCTCACAGCCTCCTCGAATTCCTCCGGAAACTTCATATGGCAAACTGCGACCTGTAAGTTAAAACCAAATGCTGCTGTTTTTATTGAAGCTACAAAGTCATAAGGCCAAGCCTAGGTAAATCAGGATAGATACATTCAAAGCAGGGTGGTGATAGAGCACCTGATGATTTGGCGCTCTGTGTTCTGCAAATCCAATTACTACGTATAAAAAAAAAAGCGGTATCTCAGATGAATGGCGCGGGGAAAGGTCTGTTTACTCTCCGCTTTGATAATACCATAGATGTGTCAAAAAGCTATAGAACGTGAGAGCTATTTGAGATTAAGTGAACACTAGAACAAAACAAAGCTGCACTTGTTTAAACAGTAAGTCACTTTGTTTAAAGATGACCTTGAATCTTATCCGTCCCCTATGCTTCATCTAACCTGCCCTCCTGTATCTGCCTTCATAGATGTAATACCTGCATGTCTCTGTGTGAGGCATATGAATCATGAAATCTAACCATGGGAGGCAATTACATCTATAATGATAGTAAAATAGATGTTAGTCAATAAACTTATACTGCCTTTTCAGGCACTGGGAGGTTTTTTCTGTTCTTGCCACATGTAATAACCCCTAAACAGAACTAAAAAAGAGGTGGTGAATAAATGCCAGAACAGTTTAATGATATGATTTGTACAACTGCTTCTTCTCCGCTGTGCTGGCAGACAAATCTGTTTGCCAGCAGTTTGACGAAATATGCAGTCCTTGGGACTGGGTTGCATTTAGTGTTACAGTTATTTCCAAACCCCTTGATATAAGAGTTTTGGATTAAAAGTTCTTGACAATAAGATCTATGTATTTGGTGATGTTTTTGCTGCCTAGAAAGAGGGATTTTGCCAGAAAAGGAAAGGAAGAATTTAATCACTTAGAACTTGCAAAATCCATCTCCTCAGATTAACTTTGAAATCAAGTTTTGGGGGTTTCAAAGTCCTAAACGAAATCATATTAAGATGTAACTTCTGTATTTTCCTGGCATTCTCAATGAATGAGGTTGCAGAAAAAGAGCATTTTTGGATATTCAGAAATTATATTCTGAATATTCCAGTAGTCAGTGAGTTAGCCTTATCCCTTGACATAGGCAAGGCAGAGGTAGTACTGCATCGTTGAGTATTTAAGTATTGAACAGAGAAGTTCCACATTGTCTTATTCCCATGTAAAACCACACTGATTCAGCTTTTCCATTTTGTAGATTTATGTTTTCTTCACGAGTTTCTTGCCATTTACTGTCTTTTCAAGATAATACTACAGTGTCAGGCCTTAATTGAAAGGATTTCTGTTAGCATTGCATTTTGAATACGCCTGGTTTGAAAATATCATGAAGTTTGTTATGGTATTGCTCCACAATTCATGTTTTCCATAGCAAGTCGCTCTGGTTTATTCTGAAATCATGTGATAAAAACCCTGCTTCATGAAATGCTGTTAGCGCTTAAGGTAATCTCTATCAGGAGCATGAATAACTTTACTGATGTGGCAGAGTGTAAAAATAGCATCAGATTCCAGCTGTATATTGTTCAGGTCAGTGATTGATTAAATACGAGTAAGCCACATAGATGCAACAAGGCGTTCTTGTAGTTTCCAGTCCACGTAAGTTCCAGGCAAGGGTGTCAGCAGATTTCAGCATTTGGTGTAAAGTCCAAAGTCTGTCCCAGGTTTACGTACTGGATTATCCACGGGTACAGGCAGAATAGATAAGTTATTTTACTCTGTGTGTTTGCCCCGTCATGACTGCTAGTCATCCTGGAGAAAAAATCACCTGAGAGTGGTGACAGGTTATAAGGAAGAGCCTTGATGGCTTAATTGGAGACTACTGGACCTGAATTCAGCTGGTTACTCATTGTAGTTCTGTTGATCTCAATATATTTGCATCATCTTGAGGTATGAGCCCAAAGTTGCAGTTTTAGTCTATACAAATTCTGAAATTTTGACAGTTTTCTGATAGTTACAGGCTGGTTCTGGCTGTTGCAGGTGCGAGCAGCTCCACCACCCCCTACACAGCATCATCGCCGGACAACAGAGAAGATAGAGGACGTGGAAATTACTCTGGTGTAATGATTGGACTAGTTAAGTAGTAGTGCTACAATCAAGACCAAACGCGGTATTTGGTCAATCTCGTTTTTAGGCACCTTTGCATGATGAAGACTTTTACTATAGAGCAAGAGATAGGGAGGATTTTATGTGACACTGACATGGTGGATTCCTTCCCACAGTCATGAATATTTTGTGCCTTTTTTTTGGTTTGATTTATATACATCATTCTTCCTCTCTTAGCACAAACCAAGACCGGCCAAACAGCGAGCAGAGGAATTGCCTTGGAGCAGGTTTCTCTCTTGGCTGAAGATGGTCAATTTTTGTACAGAGGCTGAGGAAAGAGCCTCATTCATGCAACTTAGTCATAGCATACTTCGATCACGTGCATTAGTACAGTATATTACTGTTGCCATAGGAATGTGTTAAAGATTGTCAATTCTTCAAGTAGCATTACTTGTCTGATTAGGTATTAATCAGATCTTGTGGAATGAAAAAGGGAACTGAAAAATAAGTATAAGGAGAGGCTGGCTCCTCTTTAATCCCCTTGCAGAAAGGAAGAAACCGGAAAATAATCTTATAGATAAGGAAAACTGATGCAGATCATATGGCGTTAATTACATTAATGCACACCTCTTCAATAATTAACAGTTAAACTGTTATGTTCTTTGTATTAATATTTATGCAGTACATTTAGTAATAGAGTATCTAATATGGAGGTGCTGAATTAGTAGTAACATCTTGTTCCATAGCATAAACCAACTGGTAGAAAAGTAAGTGAGATTTTGTCTAGATCTGGAAATTGAGCTTCATTTTTTTTCTTAGCAGATTTTGGGGGATTTTTTTTGGTTTTTTTTTTTAAAGTATTTGGGTCACTCTTATCCCAGTTATTGCCGTGTACTTTATTATCCAACATTAGCAGTGTATCTTTGTCATCAAAACATCTGGCTAGAGTTAGAAGTTACATTTAGAGTATTTACATGCATTATTTAGTTTTTGCATTGGATGGTCCTGTAGCATTTTCCCATGCGAAGCCCGTTAACTAGCCAAAGCCGGAGAGCCAGGAAAAGCTCTGGTTTCTGCGAAGCCTTCAGCCCGCCTTTGTGGCCAAGACTGTGGTCTCAAATTACTCTTAGGCAAGAAATAGAGAGTGAAGGAATTTCAAAACTAATTTTCAATCGGAGATCTCTGAAAAGGGAGATTTTTGTTGTTGTTGTTTCAAAGAAAAGGACAGAGGATATTCTGAGGTTTAACGTGGAGAGAAATGGTCAGAGGAAAGGGAAAAACTGGATGAAAACAGGTTTTTCTTTGTGTACTTAATAAATTATTTTCAGCAATCTCCGTCAGGTCAAAGTTTCAGTTAAAAGGCATCACAGGGTTGGTTTTTTTTGAGCTGTTATATGGGTTCTATTGAATGCGCTCTTATGTCGTCTTTTTTTTTTTTTCTAAGCCAGTAAGTTTTCTACTTTTAGTTTACTAACAAGGGCTATTTTTTGAGGCTGCATTTACAAAAAAAAAAAATAATCTAACAAGATTTTATCATAAACTTTGCACATACTTGTAAATCCCAACCCAAGCTGGGTCTCTGAGACATTTGTGTTTGCCAATCTCCTTTCCCAGTGGGATCTTTAACCAAGAGTGGGGCTGTTTGAAGAAAACAATTCATGGATCAGTTATGAAATTGGTGACTGTCCAATGAAGTCTTTTCCATATTTTTCATTCTTTTGCACCTCTTGTCCTGTTGATCTGTTTGAGGTCTTTTTATGTGTTTATCAAACTTATTCTTAAGTTTAAAAAAAAAAAGTTTTTAAAAAAGATTTAACTGTTTGCAAAAATTTTGAAAGCTTCACAATGCAGAAGAAAAGCAAGTATTGCCATAATGTTCATGTTCAATTTCTTTGGCCAGTTTTTCTGTGTCCTTCATACCTGGACTTTCAAAATTCAGAAAGTGTTATTTAAAGTCTCTTTAGTTGTATTTTAAAATATTTTCTGTAAGAGCTGCTAATTTTATTTAAAAAAAAAAAAAAGAAAAGTTGTAAAAATATGCCTCCTTTTTAACTATGATTTCTTCATACAGGGCATGTATTCGACGTATCATCGTGTACAGCGTCAGTACACTGAAAGCATAGGTGCAAATGCTTTCTTTATATTGGCTGTAAAAAGTTTGTATTTATTATGTATAAAAAGTTGAATAATAAAAAAGTGGAACTAAATCCATGATGTTATCTTGATATAGACACCGCTGCTATGCCTATGGCAAAATGTCGTTAGAAGATTTCGGCGTAGATCTGTGACTACAGGAGAACCTGGCATTTGGGGATAAAAATGTACATTTTCTTGGGTATCGTTTTTATGGTTTATGCTTTTACACAGAAATTTGAATCTCCTGCTCAGGAAAACACTTATGCCTGTACTTAAAGCGATCTTTAAATATCGCTTTAAGGTGGTATTTATATGAGGAACAAAACTATGCCAGAAATGAAGAGCCAGTAACAAAGCTCCAGTTATCAAAAGAATTGCTTAATAGCCTTTATGCAGTTAGGATAATTGCATAAAGAAAGCAAGGGAGAGTGATTGATAATAACTCTTCAGTGTGATTGTCCTTTAACAGGGTTGATTTGCCTAATTGTGTGAGGAGTATTTCCACTGCACCCCAAACCTCTCTAGCTTTAGGATCCCTGTTTGCTCTGGGTTTCCATGTTGTATTTTCTTACTGGCACTTGGAAGCCACCCTCTGGTGACCAGCTCCTCACTTGGCTAATTTCAGTTTCTCAAAGGCGAGTGCTTTTTACGTTAGGTGCTAAGTGATACGTGAGCTCTGCGTGCCGATTTCCTCCCGATTCTTGCTTTCAGCTGTTTGGAGTTGAGACTATTTTACCCTGTTTGAACACAGCTCGCTGCACGATCAGCCGCTGGGCATTGCCGCGGTGTTGGGTTAGATCTTTAATCTTTCATTTCCACTGTTCACACAGAACTGTTACACAGACTTTCATCAGTATGTTTTTTTCCCCTGAGCTCCTGCAGCCTCTTCCTTTGAGAAATCCCATCTTCCCCTGCTTTTTATACGCATTCACGGTGCTCCTCCAGAAATTATTGTCCTGGCTTGCTGCTTTGACCGCTTTGTCCTCTTAGCTTCTTGCTCGTTGCATGTCTTCTTTTCTCGCTGCATCACACACAAACGTCTTTGCTTGAGGTTCTTTTCACCGTCAGTATCGCTTATAAATGATGTTAATCCTTCAATCTACCAATGATGCCAGTTTTCATTTCTTCCATTTTTAACAGGCCGCCTTCATGCCTCTACTTTTTCTCCTTCCCCCTCCCTTAAAAGCTGTGCTGTGACAAAACAAACCAAGCAGATAATGCCCGTTCAGCAGGTGTGCTGTGATTGCATCATTCTTGCCATTAACATGAGCATAACTTATTTCCATGAAAATCTCTTCACCCTGAAGTGCTTTCCCAACTGAGTGGCGAGCCCCCGTTGCTGCCATTTGCCTGCAAGTGGGAGATGGCTGTGATTTTGATAGCACGCAGTGGCCATTTAGAGGCAAAAGTAAGGTGCTGAGGGAAAACAAAAGCTCCGTGGTTATATATTCTGCTTGGGATATTTAGAGAAAGCGGTATGGGGAACTTGCCCAGCGCAGAGGTTGAAATGTTGGTCTCTGGAAGCCGGCAGTGGGACCATCGCTGGCTCCGTTAGAGCCGGGGTTTCCTCTGATGGCTCTGGTTCCCAGATTGTCAAAAAGGATAACGAGACTGAGATTCGACAGAAGTGGAGGGGGTAAATGATGTAATGTACCTCACAACAAATTCATTGTGCTGGGCTTTCTTTTTGTTTCATTCATGGCAATATTAAAACAAACCCAGGCACGTGGGTGAGTTCTCTTTCCATATAGCACAAGCATCTCTCACTGTCAGTAATTAAAAAGGAGAACAAAACCCCCACCTTCTTCTCCAAATAAAGGATCTTTTGCTTCTCCGCCTGTAAGGTGGAGGACTGGCTGCTCTGCAACTTGCACTTTTTTCCTGCTTGCTCTTCCAGCAAGGTCCCTGTAATTAATAACCTGTAAATCTCAGCACAGCAGAGGCAGGAGGAGCAGGAAATCTGCCTTAATCAGCCTTTCCTTCCCTTCAGTCTCCCAGGAAGCTTGGGAGGGAAGATGCTGCTGCCATGGGAAGAGTCCTGTCTCCCCACATTTTCTCCGTTTGCAGATCTGCTGCCCTATGTATAAATGATGGGAGGGAGTACGCTTCCCCCTTCTAGCCTACATCTGGCCGGCTCTTTTCAAGAGGTGAGCCTGGGGATACTGAGACTTCAGTTCAAGGCGCAGGGGGAGGTTGGAGAAAGCGAGGGATAAAAGGGAAGAAAACTTAACTGAAGTCAGGGATGCAGCGAATGAGCCAATAAAAAATGCAGCTAGGAAAATGCTGACGTGCTTACTATACCAAGTAGTTTCCTCCTCCAGGCATTACCCAGGAGGATTGAGGATTACCGATCTCAGGAGGGATCACTATAGCAAGTGAGCCTCTGCATTGCAGGTCATTTCATCCAGAAAATAAAAGCACTGCAGTGATACTAGGGCTGGACTGGAGAAGGTAAGAAATCTCTGTGGTTAGTGGAGTTGAACACCAGACGTGCAGTGAATAACCACCCCTCTGTTGGCAGCAAGGAGAGGAGAATGATAACGGGTTTGCTTAAGTACAAGCGCAGTCGCTCACCATTTCAACACAGCAGCGTTTGTGTGCGGAGTCTGGGTACAATCATATTTCAGCTGTACTTTCTTACACAAGCTGAAGAAAAACTGCAGGCAGCAGAGGCAGCGTGTCGCCAGGCTGTCGTTTACCATGCTGGAATGTGTTCTATGTCCCGAGGGAAAACTCAGCCCTCCCCCCCTCAAAAATACACCCTGGAATTATTTTTATCTGTAGTAGACCATGATTTAGTTTATATCACATACAGCAGACCCAGCGGCGGATAAAATTGAGATGGGCTGAGTGAAAGAAGTATTTCCTAGTAAATTATTAAAACTATTTCTTGTATACAGCCATCACCAAGTTTTCTGTCTAAGTATATGGAGCTGCTTTGTTTGAAAGCTGATGAGATTGTTGTCTGGAAAAGGATCACAGAATCACAGCCTGGTTGAGGTCAGAAGGGACTTCTGGAGGTTGTCTGGTCCAACCCCCCATGCTCAAGCAGGGCCACCCAGAGCCGGTTGCCCAGGACCGTGCCCAGATGACTTTTGAATATCTCCAAGGATGGAGACTCCACAACCTCCCTGGGCAACCTGTGCCAGTGCTCGGTCACCCTCACAGTGAAAAAGTGTTTCCTGATGTTCAGAGGGACCCTCCTGTGTTTCGGTTTGTGCCCATGTCCTGGTCCTGGCACTGGGCACCGCTGAGAAGAGCCTGGCTCCGTCCTGTTCACATCCTCCCTTTGGGTATTTGTATACATTGATGAGATTCCCTGGAGCCTTCTCTTCTCCGGGCTGAAAACGCCTTTCTCTGTACTTCTCTGCATGCGCTCCCTGCAAAGAAGAACTTTTAAATCAGCCAGAAACCTTTCAGAAAGTAAGTGCTGTGGACTTGGTGTTGTCTGTGGATCCCAGTTTGCTGCTTCAGCTGGTCTGGAGTCTCCGAGGTCCGACACAGAGAAACTCTGCGTTGAACAGTGTGTTAGGTTGGGTGCTGTGCAGTTGCCACAAAGACTCAGAAATGGGATTACAGGATCGAGGCTTCAAATTGTACCTCCTTAACGGTCCACAAAACAAAATGTTCTGACATGGCCTTGTTTCTGTTCCCAAAAACACTTTGGAAAAAAACACATACTATAGAGACTGGCTGCTTTGTACATTGGAAATGGCTTGTGGAGGCTTTCAGATCCCGAGTCTGGACCACATCACCAGTGAATGAGGCATGTTGCGGTGTCTGCCAGATCAGTTTGCAGCC